TCTATTTTCGCTTTGGGTTCCTTAATTTTAGATATTGTAAAGAAATAGAAATATATTTTAGCGAGCTTAATTTTGAGGGTATTTTTTAGGTTTCTCTTTTTAGAAAATTTCTTACCGTATTTAATTTTATTGTGATGTTATTTATTATTACAATAAACCTGGTTTCGTTTTAATATAAATTTTAAATTTGCTATTTATTTTCAAAATAAGTGTGCAACTTATCAGGCTTTTTTGTGAGGGGAGAATCATCAAACGACTTCTCCCGGATGCTACTAAGAACAGTAATAATGTATACATTAAAATCATTTAAAAATATTGTACAAAGACACACACACGACAGACACAGCAGACACATTATTTTAAAAACTACATCTCGTACTGTCTTGCTATACATACATGCAAGTTCACATGTTTATGAATCTTACAACAAAATTTCTTTCTTAAAGATGTATCAAAATTTTGTTGGTGTTGTTGATCCATCGAGTAAAATATAGTTTTTATAAAGTTTTATTTATCTCCTAAACCGATAGTAGCTTCATCAAATTAGTAAAAATTATATGTTTTGTTTAAAACTAGTAACATATGCACAACTATCCCAATCCATTAACGACAAATAAATGGATATATTAGAAAGATCGTTACAAATTTAATACATTAATATTCAAGAATCGTTGTAGCTTGAAACAAAGCTGATTGGCTCTCAAGTAATGTAAGACATTTTCAGGTCATTCAACCGTTTAAATTAAGTTTAATTCGCTCTGAAACACTAGTTAATATCTTCAATTTGCTTTTTGTAATTAATCCTTAACACCCTTTGAATATATTATGTATATTTAGAAAATTTAATATGTAGATAATTAGATATACAATATCCATCATCGTCATGTTTCAACGATTCAACATCAACATCATCATCAGCCTACAAATACCCACTGCTCTGTAAATTCCTCTTCGCACGGTAATACCAAACATATAATTAGAAATTATAAGTCCAGGTGTCCTCACGATGCTTTTCTTCGTCGTAAGTCAGTGGTGTTGAAAGTACAAATAACTCGGAAAAAGTCATATTGGTCCTTGCCAGGTTTCATCATGCATGAGAACCGTCTTTACCTCCGGTTTCACCGATTAAAATCATCTAATAACTAAGTTATGCATACGATAGGGTTACATGGATAATTTAAAAAAAATATCCATGTAACCCTGTCTGTCTTTTCTTCACGCCTAAACTACTGAATCTATTTGTGTGAAATTTGGTACAGACATAGTTTGGAACTCCAGAAAGGACGTAAGATAGTTTTTATACCAAAAATTTGTAGAAATTTACTATGTATTTCACGCGAACGAAGTCGCGGGCAAAAGCTAGTTTTAAATATTACACCTTAAGAAATGCTTCTATACCTCTAGATAGACCTCTTCTAAGATTTAAAAACATCGCAGTCATACGTGGTGTAGTCATAAAACTCATTATTCATGAAATACGACCCGATGAAAGACGTTAAAGGTCGTCCGCGCCGTTATTCACGATATAAGTGTTATTATAATGATATTATTAAGTTTCATAATATGAATAATAATGGAGAGCTTATTAAACCTTATGTTGTGGTGACCCGAGGGTTTAAGAATCCGCTTTTCGTGGATATGGAGGTAGGATCAAAGCCTGGCCAGTACCAATGTGACTTTTTCCAAGTCATGTGCACTTTCTAAATTTGACACACACCATAGACAGTTGAAGGAAAACGTCGTGGCGAAATCTGAACTTATAATTTCTTATTATAAGTTTTAAAGGTGGTTTTGGATGGAGTAGTAGTGGAAAGAAAGAAAGTTAAACCCTTCTGCGGCTGATGATATCTTGTGTATGATATGTGGGATACTGAGCTGCTATGGATGATGATTGGATCCTGAGATCGTACTTTTGGGCTATTCAAATTTCTGTACAGAAAAATCTGTTTGGAATTATGGCCATGGTAGTTTTATCACTAAGTACATAGTTTAAAACAAAGTGGCTTTCTTTGTCTCTATATCCCTATACCTATATATGCTTAAATCGAAGAGAAAAGTTTATTTGTTAAATAACATCCATTAAATAGTGGATAAATTTATGAGCAATACTGATTTATTGCATCTTTCCGAAGCTGGGATAGGTCACCAGTAATATATAAATAAATATGTTACAAATGCGGTCAAGGTCCATCTAAATAATAGACTAATCAAATGAAGATCTAACCGGTTGATTTGGTAATTATTAGGGAAGGCTACGTTGATTTTATATGCACTGGGATATCTTATGTCTGATAATAATATATTGATGATGATGATGACATATCAGACATGAGACGATGATGACATTATTAGTTGTTCAGTGACATAAATTTTTGTTCTCTTACCAGTAATGTCAACTTAGGAAATTGAGTCGGATATTTAGTCGCTATACCATCATCATCATCATCATCAACTCATAAGTGCCCACTGCTGAGCAAAGGTCTTTTCTCGCACGGAGAAGGTTTGAGCATTAATCATCACGCTTGCGCAATGCGGGTTGGCGATTTCAAACTTATAATTCGAAATTAAATAAATTATAATTAGAAATTATAAGTCCAGGTTTTCTCACGATGTTTACCTTCACCGTATGTCAGTGGTGTCTAAATAATCATAGAAAGTATATATAACTCGGAAAAAGTCACATTAGTACTTGCCAGGTTTCGAACCCACCCTCATGCATGAGTAAGTCCAGGTTTTCTCACGATGTTTACCTTCACCGTATGTCAGTGGTGTCTAAATAATAATAGAAAGTACATATAACTCGGAAAAAGTCACATTGGTACTTGCCAGGTTTCGAACCCACCCTCATGCATGAGTAAGTCCAGGTTTTCTCACGATGTTTACCTTCACCGTATGTCAGTGGTGTCTAAATAATAATAGAAAGTACATATAACTCGGAAAAAGTCACATTGGTACTTGCCAGGTTTCGAACCCACCCTCATGCATGAGTAAGTCCAGGTTTTCTCACGATGTTTACCTTCACCGTATGTCAGTGGTGTCTAAATAATAATAGAAAGTACATATAACTCGGAAAAAGTCACATTGGTACTTGCCAGGTTTCGAACCCCCACCCTCATGCATGAGTAGCGGGCTCCGTAACCTCCGGGTAACCACGACGTCTTAGTAATTTATTTCGCTATACCAATTCTTAGTAATTTTGTGCCTCGTACAGAAAACTTTGAAATCATCCTTCGGTATGAAATGAGCATAATTATTTTTAATAGATTGTGATTCCGTTATATGGTGTTCATACGCTGAACACTTACCTTTAGGAGATCGACCTGCCTCCTATTCCTTAGAAAAATTCAAACCTAACAATTAATTCTGAGTACGATTATGAATAGTTGGATTAAATATTTATACTAACAACACAAAGACACATCATTTTAATTGGAATACAATACAATTCAATGTTAAATGCAAATCTATAACGTATCACAAAAAGAATACAGTTGAAAATCGCTGCAAAATGTAGTGCGGAGAAAATGACTGTTTTGATGTAAATAATATATTGATACGGAATCGATTCTCGATAAAAGAAGTTCTGTGTGGACCTTGAATGGAGAACTGCAATCAATATTTGTCATACTGTATCGATTAGGGGATGGGGTCGATTCTGTTGTATAAGAGACTTGTAAAATTTATGTAAAATAATAAAGTATAGGTTGTTTTATCTGAATTGATTTCACATATAGAGACAATAATGTTTATTATATAAGGTGAACTTGTACAACGTCTATTTAAAAAAAGAGTGACAGGGACTTTCTTGCTCCTTCTTCTTAATTCGAATCTACACTTTAGAACACCTAGCTTCACTGACGAACAGACTGACATAGGTACTATGATTTTTCTCAATTCAAGAGTACCAATTTATGGTTCAGTTGTTACAAATTACTTTGACTGTAAGGTTTTAAATGTCGAGTGATATCAGAATAGAGTCTTAGGCGTTAAATTATTAAGAATGACTTTAAATGTTCTGGGACGGTTATATTTCTGACAAAAGTTTTATTGAAGGTGTATTCTTGTGGTAGATCAGTGCTAGTAGGGTATTAGTCGATGCAGCAGTAATTTTACATTGATGTAATTTCTGCAGTGGAAAATTCTTGTGTATATGTTTGGTGAGTTTTGTTTGCAATATCAATACATAGCATAAAACAAAGTCGTATGCAAAGTATTTACATATTTAAAACTTTGCAACGGATTTTGATGGGGATTTTTTTAATAGATAGAGTGATTGAAAATGAAGGTTTATATGTGTAATAATCTCCATTAAGTAGTGGAGCAATTTAGTATCAGTATTGCACCCTTACGAAGCCGGGCCGGTCGGGCTGCTAGTCGTATAATATTTAACACTAGCTACTCCCGCGCGGTTTCACCCGCTGCTCAGCTCCATTAATCGTAGCGTAATGTTTTATAGTCTATAGCACTCAGGAGCGTTCTAGCTATCTATCAGTGAAAGAATTTTGGAAATCCGACCAGCGGTTCCTGATTATTATTATTTATTCCTGATTATTATTATAATTATTTTTGAGAACATAATCGAGTTAAAACGGCCAGATTTGTGACCCATACGGAATAAAACTGCTGTAAATGAATGATCTTTTAATTTAAGTGTAGGTCGTTAACTGATCTCGGAAGTCAAGCACTAACCCCTTTGACAACTAAGGAGTCAAATTCATGCTGCCATCGCTCGCTGTGACGTCATTTAACAATACAATACAAAATATTCAAAAAAATCGACTGCACGATTCGAGCCGTGTTTGGGCAACTAGCTGCCGTGCAACGTGTCGCAGCTTCGATTCCCGCACGTAACAACACTTTGTGTTATCCACAAATTGTTGTTTCGGGTCTGGGTGTAATGTATATGTAGAATTGTATGTTTCTAAACGCACCCACGACACAGGAGAAAGATGTGGGGCAAGGTTTTATAAAAAAAATCATCAATTTTTTTTTGCCTCCAGGTGTGTGGCCAGCTGAAAGTTTGGAAGGACAGGCGACTGTCCGCGGCAGCTCAGTGGACTACGCTGCGGCCCTGCTCCTTGCTGCAATGGCCGCTGTACTTCTGGCTGCTGTGGGCTACCAATGTGCTGCTACTTGGAGGTGGATTATGGGCAGGTTAGTATACATACTTTCAACCTGTTGAATTGCAGATAGTTTACTATCTAGGTTATGAAGAAGTAATCTTGAACATAAACCTGAAAATGAACCTTTTTGGTGACATGTGATAATGTTGTAATTAGATGACCTAAAGACTAGTTTAAGTTAACTTACTTTTAATAAAATATCTTAAGAATGGTACACTAATTTCTATGATACATACATATTTAGTGACTGTCTGTATAATATTAATTACTACCATTATTTAACATCTCACCTGTTCATAAGATTTGATCTGTCATTTAAATTCTGAAGTACAATTAAGACACAATAACTATTTGCTTCAATTGATAGCTCTATTCTCTTCATTTTGATTATATAAATATTACCAACTTTATTGAATTTCATATCGTAGGTACTTGATTTATACGATCCACTATTATTTTCTGTACCAAGAACAAGCAAGACCTCTGGTCACGTGACGTTAATATTGTAGTATTAATATATTATAGTATTATGTTTCAAACATCGGAACTAAAATAAAAATAATATTTAAAAAAAAAACATGGATTCCATGAATAAATAATTAACTAAAAGAAGGTCGTAGGCCCAATAACATATAATAATTATAACACACAGGCAACAATACAATAAAAACAGTTCTATTTTTAAATATAAGGAAGACCCCGATGTTTAAACGTTGGAGGCATGTATATCATAAACCTTTCCATTTTCAGTGAAATGACATATTAAATATTCTCTACGTGAATATTCTTGGAACTGCACTCGATTGTCAAATGTTTGACAATATGAGCATGAGTCTATTTGACATTTAATTTTAAATATTTTCATTTATTTTTAAAGGAATGCTAGTTATTTGTTCATGTAAATGAAGTTTTATTTAAAAAACGTTTTCTGTTGATAGTAATTCACATTTTAAATTGCTCTTGTAATAAACTATTTTATTATTTAAATTGAATTGACATCAATAAATTGAGCATCCATTTTTTTATCTATAAATAACGTGTTTATAGAAGAGGAGTTCAGAGTTAGTTGTGTTGTGGCACGGCTTCGTTATAGAGGTCATAAAGATTGAAAAGATCCTCGTCATCAATCGATGTATCAACCAACACTCCGAAATCCCCATATTTGGCAGAATTCACATCACTCAACTTTACCTTTCTAAAATCATCTTTTTCCCTGCTTTTCTCTTATCATTTATTTCTTTATCTTCCACTATCACATAGATTTACAACTCTTTTACCAGATCCCTTTGGTGTAGGACGCGTCGGGACTCGGAGGAGAGTAACTGCGACTCCCTCTCACGCCAAGCTGCCATCCGCATCAGTCACTCTCTTCCTGATCTGCAGACTGAACCTTTGAAGCAGGAGTACGTTCAGGAGCATAAGGATCCTGCTAAAAAGGTGAGAAATGTTTTTTTTTATTTTTTATATGTGGCCAACACTTGCTTGGTCACTCTTAAGGCAGTAAAAATGTAATTGTGACACCGTACTTAGCTGACCTTTGCCCAGATAAAGTATGATTTTGTATTCACTAATGTCTGTAAAAAGTTTTTACTAAAAACAAATGAAACGAGATGAAAAACCTCATTAGTCGGATTGTTTTAAACGCGAATATGTCGAGATGTAATTTGTTATTTATTTTCATTTTAGTTATAATATCTTTCTGCATAATGCGTCCCGCCTTCGCTTACTGCGATCAATAATAAAAAGTAGGTTTTATAATGTTAAAGAATGATGTGATGACATTTTTTTTATTCAACTATTATCAATGATAAACAGTATATTTGTTAAGTGAAATTAAGTCATATTTTGAAACAAAGACTAGTTGTTGATACAAAATAATGCATATTACATGAATTAATTCCATTTAACTTTCATTAAGGTCATTTTTGTCAATCAGTGTTAACATAAAAAACTTTAATAATTAAATACATAAAGTTATCTTGTTAAAGTTCGTAAAGGACGCTATTTGTTTCCAATGACACACGTTTAAGATGACATTGAATTTTAACCTATGATTGGGGGTTGTTATATTATAATATAACACTAACAATAATAATTATTATTGTTAGTGATATATTACTGCCCTCTGTCCTTCACTGTTACCATGACTAGTTAATTAATGTTGTTCGTTACAACTTTTTTGATTTAACGGATAGGACATCTTCCTATTTTTCTTTTTTGAGGGCGGAAATTCATCGAATGAATTTGAGTGTGGGAGAGCTATGCTTTGGCACGAATGGGTCGGCTCGATCGAAGTGATACCACGGTCTCACGCAAAATCGGCGTGTAACAACCACAGCGTTGTGTTTCGCCGTGTGAGTGAGGTTACCGGAGGCCCAATTCTTCCCCTACCCCAATCCCACCCCAATCCTGAAATCTCCAAAATCTTAACCCCCTAAAAATCGGCAATACACTTGTTACTCCTCTGTTGTTAAGGGTGTCTATAGGCCGCAATGATTGCTCATCAGGTAATTCGTTCAGCTCGTTTGCCGACGTTTCACATAAAAAATGAGTTCTTTCATCCTCGGCGAGGCGATAGGGAGTGTTACACTTTCACTGATATAATAAAATCACGTTACAAAAGTATGTATTTAAGTACAAATACTGTTCAAAACACACTTGAACAGAAAGTGTGAAGTTTGAGTCTCGATTCTCTTCACTCTTACACCCTAATGTCCTTGGCCCATTTCCGAAACTCATATTCATTATTTATGATATTGCAAAATATATTCCGGCTGTTTCGTCGAAGACAAGAAATTTGATGTGTTTAGAATTTTAATACCTAATACGATATTCATAGGACGTACTTCACACATACTAAGGGGACATTGACCTTTTGAAAAATGATTATTAAAGCATTAAGGGAAACCTTTTTCTCGGCATTTATCTTTGGTTACACATATTTACATGTTTTTATTATTTTTGTCACGTTTCGCATATGTAAAATGACGGCCATATTTGCCCTTTTTGGACGTAAAAGATAAGGATTCGTAACCACTTTTAGGAGCTGTATTTGCAATCTGAAGTTCTGTCGTATGTTGTTGTGTAGACATTAACATTACATAAAACCTCGCCTGTTTGCTTTAAATACAATCGCCACGGAAGTTTGGTTACTGGAATTTAAATAGTCAAATCATGGTAACATATGTGCTTGTCACTTCTCTGCTTTTCCTAGTGTCTAAAAGGTTTCCTGCCCATACTATGAAACAATATAATATAGGTATATTGGTGCGGTGGCTGGGAAACTGGCTGCCGTGCATCGTGCCGCGGGTTCGATTCCCGCACGGAACTTCTCTTTGTGTGATCCACAAATTGTTGTTCCGGATCTGGGTGTCGTGTGTATGTGAAATTGTATGTTTGTAATAGCACCCACGACACAGAAGAAAATCCTAGTGTGAGGCAAAGTTTTTTTTTGAATACAGGTACAATGAACTTATGTAATTCACTTTTCAGTACCATGTGTCCTGTATAAGGCATAAAAGTTAAATATAATAAATTTTGTAAGTCGGAAAACTGTTTACTGCTCAAAATAAAAAATCACTTGTTCACTAATGTACCTATTCCCAGATTTTCTTTTTTAAATTTCCACCCAAAGATTGGTTGGATTGAGCGGGGATGTCATGAAGTGACTTCTGTCGCCTTGCAGAAGGGAGAGGGAATGTTGAACACTTACTGATTAAAAACCCCCTTCTTTCTGTCTTCAGCCTACGCCACGGTACTTTATTGCGCTTGACCAGCAAACCCGGGTCTTGTGTCGGATTAGAACGCCCATTGTATTAAAACTAATATTATAAATGCGAAAGTAACTCGGTCTGTCTGTCTTTTCTTCATGCCTAAACTACTGAACCTATTTGTGTGAAATTTGGTACAGACATAGTTTGGAACTTGAAAAAGAACATAGGATCGTTTTTTAACCAAAAATCTACAGGAAGTCACTATTCTATGCAAACTATCGTGGGCAAAACCTAGTACTCTATAATTATAAGCCTGTTTACTTTTGTAGATTTGTGACAATGTGTGCAATAAAGTAAAGTATCTTCTCAATAATATTTTGTTCAAATCGTAGAACGAATTTGTCTTACGCAACTTAAGAAATTACTTTTATCTTCAAACTTTTTTCTTACATGGAACAGTTACACAACCATTTTCAATCACTTCGCACAGAAACAAAAGGGTAACACGAGACTTCGTATAAGTTTTGCAAGTTTCTCGAAACTTTGAAGTTGTGTAGGTAATCAAATATCACCGGGATAGCTAGTCGAGACAGATTGATCGATCCTTGAGTTTGTAAGAGTCATACGTAATGTAACTTTAATGTGTGAAGAGTAAGGTTCCTATTGGAAAACCTCATCGCAGATTTGGATTTGTCGTCTAAATCATGTTATTATTATTCTATTTTTTTATATTAAGCGATATTTACGATGTTTGGATGTTTGTAAAGTGTAAGTAAGTTTGTAGTAAATCACGCCAAAACGGCTGGACGGTTCTGGAGGAAATTTAGCACAGGCATAGGTTACACTCCGAAATAGGACATAGGCTACTTTCATCAACATGCCATGCAGGCGAAGCCGCGGATGGAAGCTAGTCATCAATAATCTATGCTCTGCCATAACATTATTTAGATATACCCATTTGGAGATATAATCTTTTATGTAAATATCAAAGAAAAATGATTAATTTTTATTAAACAAGATTTTTATTCACTAAGGCCAAATATCCATGTAAATATCCCCTGTTAACCCGCAGCCCATAGGGTTAAGGTCGTTTCGACCCCTAATGTACAAATAAGGGTTGAATTGCTTCGCCAAATTGACCTTTAAGTCGGTTCAGATGTTTTATTGATTGGTTCCAAAGGGAATTTTGAGTACTCTGGGATTTAAGATTTTTTTTAATATGTTTTATGAAATTGGATATTTTAGTCGAATGTTTTTTGCTTGTACCAATTATGGTTACCAAAACACATAGGACGAATGCCTATTATTCTTATGTAGATCACCAACAGTGTGATTCTGTAAAGAGAAGTATATGTGGGAGAGCCATGCTTCGGCACGAATGGGTCGGCTCGACCGGAGTGATACCACGGCCTCACAGAAAAGTGTGAGTGAGGTTACCGGAAGCCCAATCCTTTCCCTCCCCCAATCTCTCCTCAATCCCTAAATCTCCAAATTCCTAATCCCTAAAAGGTCGGCAACGCACTCGTGACTCCTCCGTTGCGAGTGTCCATGGGCGGCGCTGATTGCTTATCATCAGGTAATCCGTCTGCACGTTTGCCGACCTATTACATAAAAAAAGACTTCGTTCTAAACTTTGAATCTGATTCCGCTGTAAGTAGTAGTACACTACACTTGCGAGTTGAACTAAATTGACCGCAACATGTTGATAGATAAAGTATGAGATGACGTTAAAAGTTGCATTCTATAATGTAATTTCCCCGTCACTTCAACGTCAAAATCAAACTAATTTTATAGAATCGACTTGCAGAATGTTTAGCTGTTGCTGGCTGTTGATAATAGACGTGATGATAGGAAGCATTTTGAGTTCCATTTTCAAATTTTAATATTAGAACTCCTACTTATTATATTATTATTCGCAAAATAGATGAAGAAGGTATCATTATATGAAAATTGGTTACTAAAAATACAACAGTGGTTATTGTGAGATTCTTAATTTAAACTACTTCACTTAACACTAAAAATAATGACCTAGATTGTATGAAGCTTAACAGAATACCGACGTGAAACAACCACAAAGCTGTTTACGTATTTATAATTAAAACACCGGGAAAAAAATATAAAAATGTAAGTAAAAATAAAACTAAAATAAATAAAATTAATTTAAGTTCCAGTATGGACATAAGGGCAGAAAGTAAATACCAATTAGGGTCAATGAACTCATTTATTTTTATAGAGGAAAATGCTTTTACTGAAGCAAACAATAAAAGTACATATATCTAGTTTATTAGGGTCTACAATACGATTACTCCGAGTAGTTTTAGATAAGGAGGATCTTACTTAGTACCGATATAAATTGATTACTATTAGAAATTGATTTGATTCTGTATTTGTAGTAGTTTTTGGTATCTGATATAGATTTTATATCAGTTCTTGAGTTCTTGTTGGAGTTTCTTGGTGTTCACGTACACAGCGTGATTCATTGCTGGCGCACCAAGTTCGCACGGAGGGAGCCGCGTCACTGGCATTGGCAGTTGCTCCCCCCCCTGCATGAATGGGTTGGCACGGTATTGCAGAAAATCGGCGTAAATGGCCAGAGGCTAGGATCAGCCTTGCTCCCTTCCGTCCTCAGTCCAAAAATTCGCCAATCTTCAAATCCTTGACATGCAACAAGTTAGATTCTTGATGTCGTAAGTTTCTATCGTCGGCGCCTTTTGCTTACCCTCA